GTCAGGAATACCCACCAAGCTGAATCTGTTTAAACTCCGTGCACGTGTGGATGACTTTCATTAAAGAGTTTCCCGTGCATGGCCTTCCAGGTTTTCTGTTCGTATCCCACAATGCTACTGACACTAATATCTCCCAATTGGTCATTTAAGCTCACTGCATGATCCATCTGTTCCTCGCTTAATCCTATGGGATACCAACATGCTTTGGCAATCATATTCCAAAACAAAAAGAGCCACACTGTGTCCCTACTTCAAACACACACTCCCTGGGTCCCTATCATCAGCACTGAGAGACTCTTGTCTGCAGAGCATTGATAAGAAGCTGGCAGAGGCCTACACACCCTCTTAACCTTAAGCCTTTCTGTGCCACTGACAAACAGATCTCCCATTAACAACCACGGAGAAAGACAAACAGAAAGAGACAGCACAAACTAAGAAGAAAGGAAAGAAACGAGAACTCACTCTGACAACGTAATTAAATCTCCTCGTGTCCTTGATGGCGCTGCAGAAATCTAAGCGGTTGAAGGCCTCTCCCAGTGTACAATATCCGTGGCGCTGGGAGAATTTAATTATCAGGGTATTAGATTGCAATCCTCAGCAGGAGTATAGAGTTTTCTCAGCATGTTTACATTAGCAATGACAATATGAAAAGTTGATGTGAAGCGGAATGAGTCGGTTTGTTACCTCCTTGGTGCTTCCTTTATGAACATAAATCCATTTTTCCCTGTGAAAATCTGCGAGAAAGCAAAGTGTTTACGTTAGTGGCCTGCCCTCATTAAGCGGCTTATAAGCACTGTGACAAATGTATTCAGCACAAATAAGTTTTCAGAGCTGCCTTTGGAAAGGGACTTTATGAAATGCAGGAAAATGACTAAACATCAGTGTCATTAGGAGGTGCTCCACCAATGCCTTCCCTTCCAGCTTTCTCCTGCTTGTATTAACTACTCACTTAAGTTTGATGCATTGCTATGTGATTTATGACTCCCACGCATTAAAACTAAATATTTTGCTTCCTTTTTTTGTTTTTAATAAGGACTCACATGGGACTTTTGTGTTGTTGTTCATGAAGTCTTTTTTCCTCTTCTTGGCAGCCATGTCATAGCTGAAAGAAAGCAGCAGGTTCTCCTTGTTAAAACTCTCCTCCTCCTCGGCCTCTTTGCAGAAGCTGCAAAAACACAAGAACACATTTATTTATTAATTTATTTTGAACTGCAATCCACTTTCCTTCTACACAAAGAGCAACTCCAGCATCAAAACCAAAGAAAAAAGTGTAACTTGGGCCGTGTTGAAATGACTGTAGCTCATCTGGAAAGTTTACAGGTCTTTGTTAATCCACTCACTTGTTTAGGGAGGTTATTAATAGCTCGGTGATTAGCCTAGGAAAGTAACATAGCAACCAGAAACACACAAAGACACTGAGGTGAGTGAGAAGGAAACGACACCGAGGTGGAGGCCTAGAGTTGTTTTTGGTTTTGTTTTTGTATGTGTGTCAGCCTGCTTCTGTTCATAATGCTGTTTGGACTTGTGAAGAAAGTCCCTCCTCCCTCCATCTCTCTCTAACCAAACAAAAGTGATGGCGCATTTCAATTTCCAAAGCTCCTCAGAGACAGCGCCATTTCTTAGCTCTCGGTTAATGACCAACCTCTGCACGGAGACATTGTTGTTTTTGTCGTCGGTTGTTGTCTTTTTCCATCCCTCTTCGGTTTTCACCCAGCTCTGACCCGGCGACCTCCAGTCCTGTCCGAGAAAAGGCATCCTCACTCGATGACGCTAACTTAAACAAAGTCAATAAATGTGTGAGAAATCTTTGGAAAGCCCTCTGATTTAGCTTATTATGTAACCACCCCCGCTTCTAAGTGCTTTGTTTTGCCCCCTGTGTTTCTAGCCTACTGTTGACATTGCGCAGCTCTTCTTTATATCCTCCAAGTGAGAACCCGGAAACACGCGAGCTCCGCCCACTTTGGAAACTTCCCCGCAACACGTGGCTTTGTTTATCAACTCCAGCGTTGCACAACCTCTCGGAGAAGCGAGCGGAGGAATCAACACTCCTCATGTCATGGAAAATAATGACAGGGGACACCAACAAATATTTTAACACATTGGAGGAAGGCGTTTTTTAATGTGTACAGACTATTATGTAACTTTGAGAAAGTCAATTTCAACTTCATTTTAAAGTAGCTGCTTGGACTTAGAGATGTTTTGTGTCTTTTTGCAGTCGTTTGATTGACTTGTGTGTACTCTTTGTGCTTGATTCATTTTTTTTCTTCTGTTTTTTTTTTTTACATTGAGACACTGCTACTTTCCTGGCTGTGGTCGGAGTTCAGGTACAAGGAATAATCATTTTTACACTCATAAATCTACTATCACCACTGCTGTCTTTGATGACTGGGTTAAATATAAAGAAAATAACACTTGGTAAACAGAAAAATAATATACCACACAAATTTGCATGCTCAAACGAGAGCTGGGTTAAATTCATACTGATTTGATCCCATCTTCCTTAATCACTATTCAATAGTTTACAAATCAAGCATAATTTCCAAATATGCTGTGTAAGCCATCCTGCAGCAAACCTCTGACTTTGAGGAAGGCACACTGAAAGCCTGCCTGTTCAAACAATAACATTTTTTTTTTAATGCCTGATGGATTGATGTTGATAAAACACAGTTTTTGTTCAGGAAGCGGTCTGCTCAGCCTTATCAGCGCTCGCTTTATGACACTGTAAATCTATAAGGGGGGAAATTACACTGCAATATCACAGCTAAGTGCCCTGATTCTCGGTCTCACTCTGTATTATAAATAGACTGATTTGTCCTCTAGATTCTTCCAGGGTATTTGGCCACACTGTGGATTGTGAAGGAGTGTGTTTGTGTCTGTATGTGTGTGTGTAATTCAGGGGGCTTACCAGTGTGTTTCAGTTTTCCCAAAATGGCCCAGATTGATCCGTGAAGACAGGATGAGGGTATTTTGTTGACTTTGGCCCGCGTTACAGAAGATAGCGTTTACAGGTCACTGGGTCGGATCTTATCAGCTTCATTAAACATGTGACATGTTTACACATTAATCTGTATGTGGCTTTTCGGAATACACATTAAAAGTTTATGTCTGTGTGTTTACAGCTTTAATCGCTTTTCTCATGCCAGCCTTGAACTTTCAGTGCAATGAACAAGCGGTCACATTGAAAAAACAAAGATAAAAGCGATTGATGAAGAAGTGCCTTTAAGATCTTGCAACACACACCCTGGTCTGGTCAACCTGTCTTTTAGCTGCGGATATAAATGTCAACTTTCTAAAAATTGCTCCAACATAGCAAACACTTCTCAGTAAACTGCTGCAATGGCAGCTGTGCACGCATGTGTGTATCTCAATCCATGTGAGGGAGCGCTTACAATGCTGTCGTATATCACGACACGTTATATGATCAGGAAAAACATGTTATCACCGGCACATGGTTTCCCTCCAAGAAGCACTTGTGCTTTGACACATTAGGCCGTGCAGATGTGGCTCGTGTGGTTTTTGTGCTGCTGATGGTCACAAACTACCCCGCAGCGCTACAAATGTATTTCCGCTTCTTCTTCCTCTATTTATTTCTTTGCCTTTTTTTTTACCATGTAGAAAAAAAATCCACCTCAGACTGTATATTACAACTTCATGGCTCAAGCTTTTGAAACAGATGTTTGTGGTTTTAATCTAACATCTTGATATATGTAGAAGGCCTGCGAACACTCTCTGCTAGATACAATAGAGCCATACGGGGCATATAGTCTCAGCAGCTGCAGAGCTGTTTGTGTAGAAGTAGTTCCCCATATGGGTGACCATAGAGAGTGTGTAAGAAGTGGAACTGAAAAACCTAAAATGTATTACTGTGTGAACTTCAGGGTAATGCAGTAATATGCTGTGAGTCCCTGAAGTCTGATTAAGTCTATTTGTAGACTAGGCTGAATGGCAGGCTGGAAAGTCCCAGCAAGTGTAGTCAGTTAGTGACTGACCAAGAAGGCAGCTATGACCTAAGATTCTAAAGAGTCTGGGTTTAGTTTACTCATGGAATGACCAATGATGTAGCCCTACAGAGCCAGCATGTGTGTATGTGATGCATAAATGTATATTTTTTAACTTTATACATTTTCTATATTTATATCTAGATAAATGTTTAAATATGCTGAAATATATCTTTCTCTGATATGTTTGTCAACTTAGAACTTAGGAAAGGTCGTCAGTGAATGATCTTTTCCACTCTCACCTCTGTCTGTTTTTGTTGTGATGTTGTGACCAGACACGGCAGCCAGTCAGCCCCACTTGAAACGCCAAACACCTTAATCACAAACACACACACACATATATATGCACACAGTTACACAAACACATACACCTGTTGCTGCTCCTCTTGGGTGGGTTTCATCACTCGGTCAGGTTCTCTGTTGTGAAACCCCCCGCTCATGAGTTTCTCTCGAGTCTTCGCTCACATCTGCCAGCTTGCACGGAAACCGGCCGGGCCACATGCCTCACGTGGTGTAACATTTGCCCTTCTTGTTTGTTGCTCAAAATAACATCAGATCACCTATAGGTTTTCCAGTCACCCATCCACACCACCTTGTCTCGGCCACTCCACCCACTGTCCCCTGGGCTCCGTTTGCTGGCAGCAAAACGACTGAAACATCTGACCCAGTGACTTATGGTTTCAAAAAATGTCCCCTCTGGTCACATTGTGTTTACGCCATACGAAAGGCTGACATTACATTGCAGATGCCACTGATGAATAAAATTATGTAATCTCTTTAACTGCTGCTTAAACTTGCACTAAAATCATTCTATATGAAGCTGTTTGTCCTGCATATCTTCAGAATTTTAGCATACATCTAATTTGTGAACCATAACAAATCAGTGAGTCAGATGGGATTCGTGGACTCAATTCCCACTGTCACAGGGCCAGCAATGATGTTCTCACTGGGTAAAAGTTCAGCATGTTCTTTATAAAAGGGTAACGTTTCGTGGTTGCATTCTGTATCTCCATGTGTGTGGAGAACAGGAACCTGTCTGGACATGTTGAGATCCAGTGTGAGAGGGTTCAAACAGACATACGATGAGACATACAGGGCACCGGCTCAGATTGCGATTCACTGTCAACAGACCAAGAACTGCTGAGTCGTACTGTGGGGATGAAGAAAGACCACATATATATACTGTGATTTTATTTTCAAGCTGTACAAAAACGGGCTAAAACCAATAAACAACAGTACAAAAACATTAAACATGAACATTTAGAACAAATTATTTCAGCATTTGATGCAAAAGTATGCTCGGCACTCAAAGTCCCAAAACAGTGGACCTTCTGGTATGCTTTTATTTTGATTTCAGCACTGCATTAACAATCTCTTGCTCTTTATCACGTGAATTTCACCACCGTTTTCATTAAAGTGACAGAACTTGATCCAAGGCTTTGCTGCTCACACCAGCAGGCTCAAACCTACGAGCTGCACACACAGCTTTGAGTTGCACCAACCGGTACACAGCCCTCTTGATTTAAACATGACAGGTGAAATCTCTGGATTTAGAGCAGGCTGAAAATAGCACTCTCACCCATTGTGAAGCATGACAGGTTAAGAGCAGGCTATGCAACAAGAGTCGTCTTCTTTTATGCGAGTCAGAGTCAGGCGTTAAACAACAACACAGAAAAGTCGTGGAATAAATACCGCATAACATTTAAATACTTTAGTTTTAAATTGAAAACATTAAAAAATGAAAATGACATTTGTTCTATAAAATATTGAAGTCAAAACAAAACAAAACAATACTGCCTGCCTAATTTATGATTTCGACCATGTCTGTGAGACACATGTGAGAGTCACGGAGCCGTGATCGAACAGTTTGTAAGGCAGACTCCCTTTACTTGTCCATGTGTCTGTTTTCGGGTCGTAACACTCAACAGCATCCGAGTCTTCAATAACGTCATGGCCATTGATGTAACGTCCGCCTGTTACATACAGTTTGTTACTGAGAACGGTGGCTGAGTGGTGCATCCTCCTCTCCTTTAGGTTGGCACACTTGATGAATCGGTTGGCCTTGGTGTCATATGCAATCATCCTCCTGGTGTATCCTGTGACAGAGAAGATATTATGATATATATATTCATATGCAGTAGTTTGGTATGTAGTGGTGATGAAATTGTAAAGTGATCCATCAAGAATTTTGCAAGAATCCCTTTGTTTTGTTGAAGAATACTGTAAAAATCCCATTTTCCTAATGGACCGTGTATGAAAGTTCATTCCAGGCCCCCAGTGAAATGACACAGTTATCATTATCACATGTGCTTGTTTATTCTATCTTTCTTAGCCCTTTTACCTCCAATGATGTAGATTTTCTCATCCATGACCACAGCAGGAGCAGAAACATTCTTCACTGTTCTGTTCTCCATCTTAGACCACATGTTCCTGGCGATGTGATACACCTACACAGGGGAGAGGAGAAGTAAAAAGGGTGAATGAATAAATGTGAATGGATGAAACAAATGACTCCAAAGGTAACAGGTGTAGTAATACCTGTATCATTCTGACAGGGTTGTGCATGGCGTCCTCTCCTCCAAACATGTAGATCCTCTGGTTAGTAGCGGCCACCGCGGGGTGCAGTACAGCCTCAGGCATGGGTGCCATCGACTCCCACAGATTGAACATACTGTTGTACCTGATGAGAGCATTGAGAGATGTGTTTGCTCATGTGTGTCATTCTGTGTATGCAGAGTTTCTTGACTAAGGACGAACCATCTCACCTCTCCACGCTGCCTGTCAATCGCCTGTCAGGTCCAAGGCCGCCCAGGGCAAAGATGAAGTGGAGGTAGGAGACGCTCTGGTGGGCAAAACGTGGCTCTAACATAGGCTCTGCTGTCCGCCAGTGGTTGGTCTTAAGGGAAAGGGTATAGACAGTTCTACTGACTTCGCTGTTCTTCGGATTTGTGGTCAGACCTCCGATGACATAGAGGATACTGTGTAGGGCAACGTAGGAGGCTTTGTAGAGACGAACAGGCAGCTTAGCAAGCCACTGCCACATCTGGCTCCTCTCATCGAACACTATGGCCTCCCTTGAGGTTTGCTCGTTATTCTTCCTCCCTCCTACCACCACCAACATGTCATGATAGCTGTAGCGCCTTGGAGCAACCCAGGGATGTTTAAAGTCCGCTGCGATGTCTCCACTGCATTTTGTGCTAACAGAGAACATGAGGCGTCTAACAGATTCTATGAGTTCAGTGCAGAGGGTGGAGGACTGGATCAGAGGATCACTGGCTATGAACTGGAAGAGGTAGGTGGGGTGGATATATCGAAGGCGAACCTTCTTGAAAAGGTCACTGATAGCACCTCGCCTGGACAAAGGATCGTGATGGATCCAAGCAACAAGTGTCTCAAAAACCTGCTCCTCCTCTGCACAAAGGGAATCATCCTCTAGGTATCCCATGAGCTCCGGCAAAGACAGCTCACACAGGTCCTCAGATATTGACACGTCGCAGAAGCTCTTCATGGCCATCTCTTTTGCTTTGTCTCTTAAACTTTTACAGCTCATGATATCAGAAAGTCGTATCATGCTCAAGCAGTTGTCTGGGCTAAGCTGCTCCTGCAGAAAACTCGAGCAGGCCTCAAAAAGGCGGCCATATTGCAACATGGATGCTGCCTGCATCAGAGGAAGCACGTCATCCATGCTGATGCCGATGAGTCCTGTGTAAACATAGTCGATAATGCTGCTCAGAATGGTGGACGTGATTCCCTTTAGGTCTATTTTGGTCTGCTGTCTCTCCACAAAGTTGTTGCAGAACATGGCTCTGAAGTAAGGGCTACTGGACACCAGGACATTTCGGTGACAGGGGATCTCTGTATTATCTGAACACAGCAGCACATCAGTCAGGATGTTCTCCTGTCTCAGTCTGTTGAGCTGCAGGAGCAGGTTGGAGGACTGCTCTTTGTCTTTGAAATGGTAGACCTCACGTGCTGGTTGATCCATGCTGAGAAAAGAAATCAGGCTCAGATTATCACCTGCAACTTGTTATTCAAGCCTATGAGCAATGTGATCACTTACTCACTGTGCTCGCTGTGAAGTTATGTTTATTGGCTTAATGCTGTCAGAATACCAGCTTTTTATTGTGTAGTTCGGTTTACCATATTGGGATTCTATTTCTTAGATGAGCTAAGTCCTTTCTGCTTTTTTCAGTGACTTGATGAACGAATATCCGAATGTATGAATCAATCAAGCAAACGATTTTCCTGCAAATACACGTGGTTAGCTTTTCCTAAAATTCTGCTCCAAATATCTAGTTTTAAAGTTTGCAACCCTTTCAACTCATAACAGAAACATAATCTTTGTTCAGGCAATAGTTGGACCATATTTAGCCTTTTTAACCACACACAGATACTCAATGAGGCCTACAGCATGGCTGTCTGATCATTTTGGAAACTAAGTCGAAAAATCTGATGAAACACCCATGAAATTATTTTTCTTGGTGAGGTGTCATGGGACAGATGATGATTTTGTGTTTTGTGTTTATGTGTGGCAGTGTTTATGCTTATGAGCTTCAAACGTTTTTTTTTTTAAGGTCTTTAAAGTCAGTGAATGTAGCTCCATCTTTCCAAGTTCATGCATTAGATATTAGTACAAATTGTGCAAACTAATGCACATGGTTAATACCAAATGTCACATACTGTCAAAACTAAGTATTAAATGCTGTACAGCTGTGGCTCAAGAGGTAGTGCAGGTCATATACTAATCTGAATATTGGTGGTTCGATCACTGGCTGCTACAGTCTGAATGCCAAAATATCCTTGGGCAAAATACCCACTAACCCATAGCTGCTCGTGTGAATGTTAGATAGAAAGAACTTATGCATAGAAAATAGAAGGGAATAGGAGAAATGAGGCAAGTTGTATAAAGTGCTTTGAATGCTCAGAGTAGAAAAGCACTATATAAGAACCAGTCCATTTACCATTATAAATTAACATTTATTTCAGCATATGAAATAAGTATATTTCAGTATATGTAAGGTACTGTTAAGGTTAGACATCACACAGAGCAGATTCAGTCCTCCTTGCAGCCTTACATGAATACGGCTCTTACCTGTTGGGGTTCTTTCACGGTTTCTTGGGGGTCCCACTGTGTTCAAAGTAAATTCTCAGCATCAAATATGATGTCTGAACATTCTCCTTCCCTGTCTTCCTCTTTCTTCTAGCATTAAATCGATGTGACTGTACGCTCCTCTCTCTTTGTAGAGGTGTGTTGCTCACTGTTTGTTGTTATGGTCTCTTTCCACGAGGCCCGTGTGTACATTCCTCCCCTAAAAATAGAGCTTGTCTTTGGCAGCTCTACTGCTGCAGACACATGTGACATGCTAGAGAGCTGTCTCAGAGTCTGTCTGGATTTACCACCAAATCTGTATTGTTCCTTTATTTCTTATTCTTTCTCTCTCCCTCTTCTTCTGATATTATGTTCTTCCTCTGTTTATTAAACCCACATGAGACCTCTCTTTTCTTCTTTATAGCTCGCATTCCTACTCACTCCATCAGCTCTATCTCTGTCTGGCACATGATTGCAGCAGTAAAAACGGCACTGATACTTGATAACACTCATTTTTGCTGGCTGCTCATTCTGCTGGCTGGCTCATAGAACACATAGAGATATAAAAACAGGATTATGTTGCAGCAGAAGCGACATAAACAGAGCGATACGAGGAGGTTTCAGCAGGATTCCAGAAAAAAGAACATGGAAAACACTTTGGCCACAACATTACAAACAGTTCGCCACAAGTTCAGTGAAAATGTCTCCGATTTATGTAACCTCAGCCAGAGGCTTGGGTTTAATGGAAGAACATGAGCGGTGCTTTGTGTGTTGATCCTTTATGCATAAAGAAATATCCTAATTTAACTGTATATCAGCAACAGTTGCTTGCATTCCCTATCTTTGTGTGTTTTTTAAGCTCATTTCCATCTCATTTTTATGCTCTCTGAAACAGATAGAGCCTATACAGCAGCTTTCATGGAATGCGTCATTCAAGTGGCAACAGGATATTCATTAAAGCTGGAGAAGACTCAAAGCTTGCTGGGTCTTTCTTAAATATGGGCACTTACATTTTTATTTTTTTTTTAAATGAAAAGCCATTTTCAGTAATCGCAGTTACAAATGTGGCATGTTTTCTCGTGTTTGTGGGATTTTGTACAGAGCTTGGCAAATTCAAGATCAATAGCTGCCTGGGTTGCCATGGCAGTGTAGATTGTAGGTTATTGTACAACAGCACCAGCAGTTCACATCATAGAGCACTTGCACTTACTGGCCATCTTATGTTGACATCTTGTCCTGTTGCTTGTGGGCAAATGCGAGCATATCACTGCTTACACAGTTATAGCAACAATAACAACAACGAAATAAAGTGAAAATGAAGGCAGGCTGTAAACAGCAAGAACTGAGGTCACAATAATCACACGTGTGATACCACAGGATAGTACTTCTTTGCATTTTAAGCAGACACAAATAAACAGCGCCATCTAGTGGCCGAGCGTTGGGTAAATACACAATTCATTATGAAAAAGAAAAACAATTTCCTTTCTAATTAACGCTTAAACCTTTGTTGTTTGTGCTTACGGTGTTCTCAGTGACAGTACACAACAAAGACATCATTTATTTTCCAATAAACTAAAGTGTTGGGGGGTTTTTTGCCTGCTAATTGTATCATGAAACAAAATGTCAAAAAATTAATATCTGCCACTACGTGCTCCTGTCAAAGGCAAACGCTTAACTCGTTTACCCGGGAGACCGCACTGTCATTTTATCACCCACACTCTCATATTCAGCGCCGCGATTGCATCTTTTAAAAGTTAAGCACATCGTCTTCTATCTCTGTTCCGTCACCTTGACAAAAAGGACTCATTAATGTCTGCCTGTAGGCAACAAGTTATATTAAAAGTTAAAGCTTCGGCGCACACTTTTCATAGCGCAGCGTTTTCATACAGCAGCTTAACTGTTGCCACCCACTGCCCCGTGCTGTGTCTTCATATCACCAAATGATTATCTTCTCATAAGCACACGCACTAATAGAGCTTATACACCCAGGGGGATTTAGATCTCACCGATTACTCTTGTGTTTGTGTAGGTGTGAGTGTGTGTCAGACAGCTCTCCTTGGTCAAACAGAAGCGACATGTGCAGCTCTGTCCTTCACCTAATTTCGCTGTACTCTGCGGCACTCAGTGCTGCAGGTAATAGTTTGTTTTCCACAAAGAAAGCCCCCCCCCCCTACTTATTACATGTTTTCATTCTTAATCCACAAATATGAGGAGCTGAAATTCAGGTTCTGTGGGAGACACAAGGGCTAAAGAAAACAGACCACTGGCTATAAAGAAAAGGTAAAGGTTGGGAGGAGTGCTCATCCTTGTACAAACTCACGCAATGAGTCCCCTTCATTTGTGTTTGCTCATTTTTATTAAATCAGAGTGAAAGTGAATAAGATCATTTGCATCAGTGCTATTTGCACTATTCTGCAGAGCGGTACCAAAAAGACAACGCAGTACAGGACAAATCATATTATCTGAGATTACTGTGCTCGTAGCTAGTTTATCACGCACCACACAAAGCCAACTGTCTGCTCAGTTCGAATCAGTGTTCCTCAGTTGCACCCAGACCCCCAAAAAAACATTCTCTTGTTATTTTGTAATGAATTTCAGACTTGGGCCCAAAGTAAACTGGATTGTCACTCTGTCATGTCTGTTTAGATATCTGGCCTTTGGCGCCGGAGCAGCGATTTTTGCGCTTGACTAAGCTCACTGAAATGTTCAGCCCAAAACGAGCTCTGCTTCCACAGCGCAGACAAAGATAGCTGGGTATACCTGTGATTCATGCCACTCATTATTTCGTGACATGATTCATGACTCACATTAAAAACGTGAATTATTAGAGCACCTTCTAAAGCTCTGTGGGGGGAAAAAAGTACTTGTCATATGAGGCGCAACATCTTTCAAGAAATTTATAATAACGCCAGGGTTCACTCACCTGCTGATCACCTGGAACATGCTTTAACCTTGTGAGGTTTAAGCACCACTGCCACCCTCACCATGTGCTTTGGAGAATAAAATATGGACTGAGGACACTGGTAGAAACACTCAGAGAACAGTATTCAAAAGCCAAGAAATAGTAATTATTAAAAAAAATCTCAGATTCTCAGGGTTAGAGGAGTTATCGATAATGACTTCATGACTTCCTGATGAGGGGAGAAATGACTCCGTGAGATTTACTGTGCAACAGGAGAAAATGTGACTGGTGTGTTGATGTAGATGTGTGTGTTCAGTGTGTAAATCCCTTTAACATTTTAAATGTAATCTAGTTTGGGAATGGTGGGCTGGGATGAAGGTTACTATGAATGCTATCAAACTGTTGGTGAGAAAATGTTGCTTTTCCAGCCTCAGACGTTCTTACAGTGGTAACATTTTTTCTCACTCGATTTAAGCATGAGTCCAAGATAAAGGTTGAAAAATGTAGACGGGAGTATTATGAATATTACGGAGTGGAGACTACCTCCGTTATTCACATCACTTTACTATTGGACTGTTTTATTTTAAGCACACAGATGGTGCTCTCTCTATCGCTTTCTTCCTCTTTCCAATACCACGTTCAGACCAGCAGAGTATCCAGCAGGTGTCAGGCCAACGTTATGCAAATTTCAGAGTGGTTAGGGAGCTTTAAAGGCTACGCTCACAGTCAGTGTGTCAACAAAACAGACGCATAAACTGCTGAGATGAGAGATGAGAATTGGCTGGCGTGACAGAACATTTTCGAAGAAAAGAAACCAAATAGAGGCGTGAGACTTGAACGCTTTGGGTTATCACGAAACGTTATTTTCTCAGCCGTACACACACATTTATGGTGCAAACTTTAAAACACCCATTTAATCAGAGTGTGATAACCTTCGAATCAGTCTGCCGTGGAGCATTATTCCCAGGCGTAAAGAGATACATGCCAAGCAACTCTGAGATCAGTAATCTGGGTTTTGATGGAGAGACGTCTACATGTAAATCAATGGCTCCAGGGGTGGAGAGGGAGGTGTGAGGAGTAGCCTACAGAGACAAAAAGGGAGGGGGGGAGAGGCTGTGAAAGTAAGTCTGTGTTTCAGTACCTACACACAGGCTCAAGCAGGGATGAGGTCTTAAAGGGTTTACAGTTAGCTGCTTAAAATTCTTCTGATGTATCCAACGAATGCAGGACATGTTATTTGGTAAAGGGGGGAAAAAATGTGAAGGCGCAAGGGGCAAGCACTTAGTGTTTACTGGTTGTGCCCTCTGCTGTAGCTCTCCCAAGGTTCCTCTCTTGTTGGTATGGCGGTCATTCAGTCGCTGCCACTGTGCAGCAAGGCAAACACAGCCTCGTTTTTTTGTTGTCTGCTCTGATAGAGTCAGCTAACCTGTGTGGGTTGGGTGTGTGGACGACGCAGGGGTGTTGGTGGATTTGCGTGTGCCTTCATGTGTGCTATATGTTGCAGTATGTGTGGGAGAGAAGGGTGTGTGTGTGTGTTCGCGTGCGTGTGTGTGTGTGTGCAGCAGATATTGATATTCCAGCAGCAGCAGAAGCTGAAGCCCATGTCTTTAAAGTGTCAGCCCTCAGCAGCCAGCCAGGTATACCTAAGGTACAGAAAAGAGAGGGGGCGAGTGAGGAAAGGGAGCAACGAGAGAAAAGGGAGTGAGATAGAAATATATAAAGAAAGAGGGTCCATGAAAGACAGCAGAAATACAAAGGCAGGGGAGATGAAGAGAGACAGAGAGTAGAGAGTGACACAGAGAGAGAGAGAGAGAAATACTGAAAGGGGAGGGAGGAAAGAACATTTTAGGTAGGTTTTCTGGAGGTGAAATTACTCAGATGTCTTTGAAGGCCTCACTGACTGTCTTCTCCCTCTGTATTCTGGGCGACACGCGGACAAACAGAGAAACAGATGGACACAGAGGGAGTGGTGGCTGCAGGGGCAGGCAGGGAAAATGTCAGGTTTCAAAAACAGAGCAAATGAGCGGTGTTGAGGAGCACCAAGGGTCACCGAATGCACGATAGCGCAAAGAAATAACCCGCACAAAGGACACAATAAACCGTGGTCTACTTTCAAACAGAGCCTCTCCAATTAAATGCTGCAACAGTCCTACAGGGATTTAACAGTGAGTCTGTTCTGATCTTATCACTCTTACTCTATGGTATATTTAGTGTTCAGCGCTGCCAGGTGATTCAGACAGAAAGTAAACACATTATTCCAAGCCAGTTCTTTTATTCATACGTTATTCTGAGAGGTAAACAAAAAGAGGGAGAAAAAAAGAATAAATAGCACCCAGCCATGGCGAGGTGGAAATAAGTTTCTGATGAAATGAAGATTCTCGTCTT